TCTTTCCTCTACCATGGTAATAAGAATTAAAGAATTCTGCAGAAATGTGAAGCAGTCACTGAGTAATATTAAGAGCATTGAAAAAGGCCAAAATGGAGACTACCCAAGTTCTTAAATCCAGAGTGCATTTCATAATTGCCTTTCAGATTTTATCCTCATTATTAATATTATATTGACAGGTCAATATAATCTAGTCAGCCAGAGAGAGGATCCTGGAGTTGATTTTGACTACAATTCTTCTACTTGCTAGCTCTATCATCTGGCATGATTATTAACCACTTTAAGCCTCAACCTATGAAATAGATAACATACTCCATTCACAGAGATTTGGGGAAAAATTAAATTAAATAATATATATTGAGTGCTGGGCAAAGAGTAAATGCTCACTTGATATTAGTTATTATTTGGAACAAGTAAATATTAGTTATTATTTGGAACAAGTAAATACATACATATATGCACATATACGTAACAGAAATTAGTTTTTAAATTGTTATTTGTTATTATTACAGTTGTCACTTTTGAAACTTCTAATTTAAGTGTAAAATTATCTTTCTTCAAAGAAGAAATTTGAGAGCCAACTTAACAAGGAAAATATGATTTAATTAAGACTATTTTCCATCAAATTGTAACTGGGTTTTCCCAGAGAATTTCAGGGTGAAGACTTCTGTAAACTTCCAAAATCTTCATTTTATTGTGTATTTAACTCTACCACTTATTTTCCTAAATTGGGTCTAGATCCCCTGGGTCAATAGAATGTGTATCCCAGATGCCCCATAAGAAGGGTTGGTTTTAGTAGGCATGTTGATGTTATTTGTACATAGTAAGAGAGTATAAAGGATTAGAAAAGCTTTGGCATTTACCTTGTTAAATTTTTATAGCTATGCTCTGGTTCAAGGGTCTACTTAACCGACTTAACTACACTAAGAAAAATGGGAGCATTGAGACCAATGAAAGGAGTCCACAAAATTCTATGAAAATGAATCAGTTCTAGAAGAAATCAGTATATTTAATGATCCAAGATACACAACTAGAACATTAACTAGCTTTATTGACCTCAAGGAAATTTACACATTTCCCTATAAGGACAAAAAAACCCACCAGGGACATTCTCCTTTATTATATTATAAAAAAATTGTTTTAATACATTAATTCAACATCAATTTTTTAAAATGTTTATTATATACCAAGCATTGCAATTGCTAAGGGAGCACAGTATTTAACAAGGCACAGTTTCTATTCAGCCATGACTAGGGATGTGACATAAAAAAGAGACAATTTCAATAGAAGATGATGTCTTACGCAAGATCAATCACAGGATTCTTTTGCTGCAAACACCAAAAGGACATCTAACCTTGTGCTGAGGAGGTAAAGAGACTTGAAGAATGAATAGAGATTGGTTAGGTGATTCTGGACAAAGGAACAGAAATGTCAAAGACTGATGCACAAAAAGGAAAAAAGTCTGGCATACTCAGAGGACTACAAGTGATTCAGTGCACTGTGTACAGTGTATGTAGATAGTGGAGAGGCAAGAGGATATGTAGAGGATCAGTATTTTATTCAAGGTAGATTTTGCACAAGAGAGCTAAATAGTATTCTGTTTTTTTTAGAAATGGTAAGTTGGGAGCTGCACGCTAAGTTTAGCCCTTGAATGAATCTTCTTCATGATTAGATAGATGGGTTACCATATTTAAAGCATATAAAACTTTCTCACAAAAACTCAGATTAGGAATTCTCTTGAAAGTTCAGGAATTCCCATTGGACTCATGTTGCCTTGTCTCTGAGAAGTTTCTTTTGGAGGAACGAAGGGTGCTTTCATGAGTCACCACACTCTTCACCTACTTCACTTGTTTATATAACTTGCCAGACCCTTGAGGCATTTGTGTTTGCAATAGGAACTACAAAATTAAGTGTGCTCTAATATATCAGTGTGACTGATACTGGAGATATCAGGACTGGAGGCAGATGCATTATTTAGGACATTTCTTTGGTAATCTAGAGAAGTAATGAGAGACCAACAGCGGTTGTATTGGGAGACAGAGAACATAAATTAGCATTTCTAAAATGACGTTATGGCTTAGGCAATCAAAAATTAAATAGAGGGAAGAGGAGAGGATGATATTTTAATTGCCAGGTTGATCACCTTAAGAGTCATTGTCTCAGGTTAGGAGCAGACACTAAGAAGGAATTAGACCTGCAAAAAAAATTTGGTGGAAATGCCTAGGAAAGATTAGGATAGGTAGTAAAAGAAGGCACAGGGAGCTTTCAGACTGAAAGACATCTGACAAATATGAAAGGAGAACCCAAAGGAGAACCCAAATGAGAGAGGGTTGGGTATGAAGCTCAGATTTCAGTGCGTCTCTGAGAAAATGTCAGCCAAGATGATTAGAACATGAGATTGAAGATCACTCATTACAGGATTCTGTCACTTGAGAATAAATGGTCCAGCTTTAGTAATCCCATCATGCTCCATGGCCTGGTGTAAACTATGCTGGTGATTTTGAAAGCACAGCAGCTTGAGGTTGTCAGTTAATTGCTCTCTTTCTAGTAAGTTCTCTCTTTAAAGGAAATCTAAACAGTTCATGCCCATAGCAGACACAAGAGTCCATTGCTAGAAGTATTGGATTCAAGTAATGAGAAAAGAGTTAAAAACGGTTATCTGTAGAGAATAAGAAATGGGTGGAGTTAGCAAGAGACTGATGCTTCCTTAATAGCCTTTTAGAATTAGCTGCCATTTACATATTACATATAAGCAAGTATGAAGGACTTGTGGCAGAGATTGCTATATGGATCTTGAAAACTATTTAGCCACATTACCTCTTCCACATTCGCTTGCAGTTAAGTACAGCAATATGATTGATTTCTAGTTAACAGAAGGAAAGAGATGTGATATGTGCCACTCATAAGCAGAGCTCATAAAGTCTGTCACATATAATCCTTCCTTTGATTTTACTGACTGGAAACAAAGGATTCAAGGTCTTACACTCTCCACAGATGGAGAGAGTATGGGAACTGAATCATGGCAAGCTGGGCCACCTGGCTAAACAACTACTTAGGGTTATTCTGTGTTTAAAATTATGTGTTTTATTTTTATTTTTATTTTATTTTAAACTGATGACATTTGGAGATTTAACTATTACAGCAGCTAGCATTAATCTAAGAAAGGTGGTTCAAGATAAAGATATGTTTGTATATATCACAAAGATATGTAAATCTTTACACATTGTCAGAAATACTTTTACCTTTGAATTTTTTTCTTATAGGTTCAGACTCACATCTTCAATACCTATGAACTTATTAAGATTTAGCTAACACTGTTAATTTGGCAAGTTCATAATGTTAAATTAACTTCTTATTCTCTACTTCGACTATAGTGGTGCCATCATTTCCACAAACAATCAGGACCTGTATTTTATGGTTTTCTTTGATTCTTACCTTTTAAACATTCTCATATCATATTTTTAAAATCTGTTATTTCTCCTTTCTTCATGTGTCTTTGTATGCATTGTATTTCACATTCTATTACCACTATTCTAGAGTAAGTGCATAGCTTCATGCCAACAACACTAAAACAGATTTCTAATATATAGTCTACTTCGACAGCTTCTCCCCAAATCATTTTTTGAAAATTACCACTGTCACTGTCCCCAGAGCATTTTTTGGATTATAGTAGCAATTATATTATGGAAAAGACACAGGAAAAGAAGTTTCCAGTTTGAAATATCTGTTTTTCTGTTATTAGGGTGACCTCAGGAAGAATTCTGAGTCTTGATTTCATCATCTATTAAAAGAGGGTCAAATCTATTCACAGGGTTGTTGCAAAGATTAAATAAGATAATTTGTAAATAGTGATAGCAAAATATCTGTCTCATCATAGTGCTTAATGCATGTTTATTAAATCATTAAATATATTATTCTTTACCTAATTCCCTTTATTTAGCTGATCTGCTTACAAATTTTTGTTTACTCCAGTCAGCATGATCAAATGCTTTTTTACCT